GGATAAAAAAAAATGAGGGAAAGAGATGTGGGAGAGAGAGAGAGATCGATATATATATAGAGAGAGATAAAGAATGGGGAGAGGGCGATATGGGAGAGAGAGGGAGAGAGAGAGAGAGAGAGAGAGCAAGAGAGAGAGAAAGAGAGAGAAAATATGGGAAAGGGAGAGAGAGAAGAACACAAACACATAACTGTTATGTATACACCATACAAAAGAACAATGTCATTCAAAAAGTCTTGTCATTCAAGTTTGTGGAAATGCTTTTCAAAGTAATTTTTTTTTTCTTTTTAATTGAGGAAAAATGCATTTCCGCAGAATTATAGGAAACATCCCTTCCAAATCACTAGTATTGATGTTATAGAACTCTATCAATATGTCCAATTATTTAGAACATGTATACAGATGTATTGAAAGAAAAGTGTAGTGCGGGATATTCATGCATATATATAGCGATATGATAATCCAAATACATGATGAAAAGGCAACAATTATTGTGAAACAAACAAAGAACGTTAACTAAACTGTGGAGATTTCTTTGTGTAATAGTATAGTAATAATGACTGCTTTGAGAGAAATAGTTGTTTTAATATACACTCAAGGGGAGATTACAATCGTGCTATTGCCCGAGACGTGCCGAGGGCAATAGCACGACTGTAACCTCTCTACACTCGAACTTTTGAATCGTTTTTTTATCCTCTTGAGTAATGTTTCAGCTCGATTGCCATCGTCACCCAGTCACTCCTTTGCCAAAACTTTCGGGCGGGACTATCTCTGAAAATTAGATACGAGTATAGGCCTATATTACTTAACTGCATCAATGATCCAAGCTTTTTTGTTAATTTTACGTCCAACTCTTGATTAACTACTTTGATAGTTGGGTCAGAAGAAAATTAATAGCTAACACTAAAAGTATGGTCATAGCTCAGTTGATATGAGTTGTGAACAAGCGCCAAAACTTGGACCAGATTATTTAAAGACTTTTAAGAGACTTGTCGCAGTACCAAATGCTTGCTTTCTTGGAGTATGTGCTTGAAACAATAATGTCCTTGGAGAACACAGACCACCACAAGAGAAGGTAAAGATATTTACCTCTGATCTTATAACTTGATATGTTTAGTTTTTTTTCAAGTAAAAGGACATTTTTGAAATGAGTGAGGTCAAGGTAAAGTTGGAGAGGGATACAAAGGCCGCTAAAGGGCTGGTTTGAGAAGTATCCATTCAGGGGGGGGGGGGGGCTATTTATGGATCCGCATGTCTACTAACAATTTGCTGAAGTGTTTATTTAAGGTGTATTTAACTTCCAATATATCTCTATTTATAATAAACATTTTGAGCTCATGTGCAAGGGGGGAGGAGAAGGGGGTCCACTATATGAAAAAGAACGACAAGCAAAAAGAAAAAAAAAAGACCTTTTGCTGGAAAGTAAACATTGTAGACAACTCAAATAGTACATACCACTAACAATTTGCTGAAGTGTTTATTTAAGGTGTATTTAACTTCCAATATATCTCTATTTAGAATAAACATTTTGAGCTCATGTGCAAGGGGGGAGGAGAAGGAGGTCCACTATATGAAAAAGAACGACAAGCAAAAAGAAAAAAAAAGACCTTTTGCTGGAAAGTAAACATTGTAGACAACTCAAATAGTACATACTGCTATTTAATTTCAAATTTGGTCAATATGTATTGAAATGTTTATAATTCTGTTTCAGGGATTGAGAAGGAGTGCTTCCTGTTGAGAGATCATGGGTCAGGGTGTCTTGAGGTTCCCCCTTACCCTACAGCGATGGCCTCTTGTGCCTGACAACATGGGAGCAACGCACAGTGGACTGGTAATTCATAATGAATATTACAATGTTTTTAAAAAATCCGGGAAAGAAACGGATAAATTCATAGCAATTCAATTCAATTCAATTTCGGTTTATTAATATCAACATAATACAATGTACAATGCAGTAGTCCATGGACCAATAATGCAATGTTTACATAAAATGTGCATACAAAACAGGAATGATCATATAAATGTACAATAAAAATGATAAAAGATAAAGTTAACATTATTGTTCATACCTAAAGTTATATACACATATAAATAAATGATAATAGATGGATGAACAACCTATAACAGTTACTTGAAATATTGAACCAATTATTGCAAGTAAAAATATTCTTTAAATAAAAAAAATATTAAAAAAATAAATAAATATATATATATATATATATAGAGAGAGAGAGAGAGGGGGGGGGGAATTATTATATTGCAATTGTTAAAATGAGATCGATAGACTGAAAAAGTATACATGCAGGTGTGTCTGTAGTGTGACAGGTAAGGTCAAATTATGTTGAATGGAATTATTACATTAAAAATATATCATTAAAGCATTTCATATAAAGAGATGTATAATGCCTATGAGCATAAACAAATTCTTATAACTGTTGAGTTTCCACATTACATTTTAAATTAAAGTTGAGCTAAATTATGTTATTGCAGCAGAATTATACACGGTGGTTTAAGAACAACTTAATAAGAAAAATGAAGAGCACTCAATAATATGTACACGAAATTTTGATTTGGGGATCGATCTTGAGTTCAATTAAACAAAGTAACAAAACAATAACTATAATATTATTAAAAAGAAGAAGAAAAACAAATAGGATACATTACTATAGACGATCTACAACTGAGCATTGACCAGTTTGACAAGTGTGGGGACACTTGATGTTCTGTATCGTTCAGTTCTTGCATAAGGAATGTGTAGGTGGTTATAATTCCTAAGTCCACCTCGCGAGAGATGCTGTCGTTCAGCCGGAAGCAAATCACGGTGTCGCGAGGAGACAAGAATTGATTTGGCAAAGTTGGTAAGTAAGTCATTTCTTCGCCTGGCAAGGGAGGAAATGCCGAAGCTGCTCAGGAGTTCCTCGTAGTGATGTTGATCAGGGTATGATATCATCCTGAGAGACCTATGCTGTACCCGCTCTATGCTATCTGACTGCTGTGTTGTCAGGCTACCGCTCCACACTGGTTCACAATATTCCATCAATGGTCGGATATACATTGTGTATATAAGCACAAGATCACTGGTTGGAACTCCATTCCTCTTCAATTTGCACAGGATATATAGACGTCTGGATGCACGTTTGATGACCTGTTCCACTTGTAGATCCCACTTTAGGTTTGTCTGAATGATAACAACGAGCAGGCGAAGCGACGTTACAGACTCGAAAACTTGATTTCCAATAGTAATCACCGGTGAAGGTGGACCATTACGCAGGAAAGTTACATGCATCACCTTACATTTTTCAGGCTTTGGTTTCATTGAATTCAACTCACTCCATGTAGATAGAGCATCCACATGAGACTGTAGATGACTTGGCTCTGCTTTATGGACAACTTCACCAATAGTTACGTCATCAACATACTTCCATCTCTTGGAGGTAGTATCGGCGGCATCGTTGATCATAATTAGGAAGATTACCGGACCGAGTTTGGTTCCCTGTGGAACCCCACATAATAGCTCTTGCTCAGATGATGATGTACCGCAATATCGAGTTGTCTGCGTACGTTGCGTGAGAAAACTAGCTATCACTGTGATGATGGCCGGGTTGACATCCAGTTGAATCAGCTTCTGTAGAGCCTTCGTATGGTCGATGAGGTCAAAGGCTTTCATGAAGTCGATTGTACAAATCGTGGCATGATGACTTGGCTAATCCAGGCCCCGCTGAAGATCATCTAGCAGGCTGACTAGGTAATGTGACACAGAGCTGCCTTTCATATTACCAAATTGAAAATTTGAGAGTCTGTCACGGCATTTTGAGTAACCCAACATTTGCTCCTGCAACGACTGCTCAAGGCTTTATTCGTCAAATGTGTAGGGTTAGGCCAAGGGTTGCAATTGAGATTGAGGTTAGGTATAAGGTTAGGGCAGGGACGTGGTAGAGAAGGACTGGAATCGAGCCGCTCTCCTTTGACCCCATGCCCCAAGCCGCCGAAAAGATATGCGCTAATCTGCAACTGTTGACCAGGTGGTGATATAAAAGAGCGCATGCAATTTCAGGATTTAGAACTCCTACATCAGATAATGGTATCACAGCACCTGTTCGCTGTCCCTTTCAATGATTTCTCACCCATTGTTGAACGTGTACAGAGTAGAACAAGCGAACACAAACTTGTGTAATTTCATCCTTTTTTTAACTTCAAAAATCAAAAAAAAAACAACGCGAAAACACGCATTAGCAAAATTAATGTCATTGAAGATCGTAAATCATGGATAAAATAACGGGACATTAAAACATGCACAAATTAGCGCATTATCCTAAAATATTGAGTTTTTGTCAGGATGTAATTTTTCTTTTACCAACTCAGGCACACAAATTATAGGAAGAACAGAGTACTAAATTTGAAAATTTGTTTGATGCACTATTTCCGAAATAGTCCCCATAGAAAGTGTTGATTTACACTGAAATTTTGCCGGTAATTTAATATTTTTTGATAAATGTAAAACTGGTGCCTGCCCAATAAACAAAATCACGTGAAAATCACGTCAATATCAAGGTATCGACTTGAGGAGAGTTACGTTCTTCAAACACCTGGGCCCGTATTCAATTAACATCTTAAGCATGAAATCTAAGTACTTTTTCTTAAATTTTGGCTAAGAAAAAAATCTTAGCCAAAATTCGTATTCAATATAAGATATTTGCTTAAGGGTATTTTCTTAACTTAAGACTTTGTCTTAGCCGATTTTTCAGAGTTTAGGTATAAAATCTTAGATTTTGTCTAAGTCAAAATTCTTAAATAGAAATTAAGAATTTTACCCTAAGTTTAAGCATCCTACCCAGTATACTTAAACTTCACGCGAAAGGCACATAACTCATTTTCAAAGCTGTAGGAAACACGGCAGCATTAATTCATCGAATTAACAATAATCATCGAGATGTCCGACGTTATCTTGCTGCTAGGCGCGTGCACCCTCTGAATACGTACAACGATGTTGAACTTATTAGGAGGTTCAGATTTGACAGAGAAGGGATAATCGAAATTACAGGAATGATCCATGATGACATCGCACCAAGGGCAAATAGAAACCATGCCATTCAGCCAGTCGATAAAGTTTGTGCAGCCCTTCACTTTTATGCGACTGGTTGTTTTCAAAATACTGACGGGGATACCATGAAGATATCCCAACCATCAATTTCGAGAATAATTCATCAAGTTTCGCTCGCGCTTGTGAGGAGATTGGGGGAGCATGTCCGTCTCCCTAATGAAGAGGAAAGGAGGGTCAACGCTGACACCTTCTACCGGATGGCGAATTTCCCTGGTATCATCGGGCTTATTGATGGAACCAACGTTCGCATTCAAGCGCCCACTGAAAATGAAGAACAATTCGTCAATAGGAAGAGATACCACAGTATCAATGTCCAAATAGTCGTGAACGCAAAATCTGAAATTATCAATGTAAACGCCCAGTGGCCAGGAAGCGTCCACGATTCGCGCATTTTGAGGGAAAGTGGACTGGACGAGGTACTCGAGAATACAGAAGGGCATCTGCTGGGGATAGTGGTTATCCCTTCGACGATGGCTGATGACACCTTTTCTCCGACCACGAAACCATGCGGAAGAACACTTTAACAGGTAATTGTTTTTTTTTGGTTTTATAGATAGATCTATGTCTATAATGGGGTCGGAGATAGCATGATGGTGCAATTCAAAAATTATTATTAGAATAAGAAAATACCGGTATTAGGTACATTTTAGCGCTTATAAAGAGACAATCGTGAATTATAATATTTTAAAAAGCAAAAACCACTAAATCAAGATTGCCTATTAGCCTGCATGAGATTCCAGTGCACTGGAGCCAGGGTTGTTGAGGTGAATATAATTATACATGTAAGAAGATATTGCATTTAATTCCTTTTCAATCAACTGGTTTTGCCATAAATACTGGTTATATTTACCTTTACTCATTTTATACTATAGGGCACATAAACATACTCGATGCTTGGTTGAGAGATCAATTGGTCAACTCAAAAGAAGATTCCATTGTCTTCATGGGGAACTGCGAGTGAGCCCACTCAAAGCCAGCCGCATCATTGCTAGTTGTTGTGTTCTACACAACATTGCTAAAAGAATGAACATGCCGGACAACGAAGACGCCCCTGACCACCCCGATGACGAGCAGCCTCCTCATGAAATTGTCATGGAACATGATGGCGTGTCTGGACAAGCCTATCGCCAACACATCGTCGACAATCATTTCGTTTGGTGCATTTTCAATGTTTTACAATTTATATCCTTTAAAAAAAAAAATTGTACTCGCTATGCAATGGAATGAGTGGCGTAGCTTTGCATAGGGGATAGGTCATATTAATGCAACTGGATCAAAGGGCGCATCCATGATTGTGAGAAATTGGGAAGACAATTTTGTGTTAAATTAATTTACTTGTAAAGGTGTGTGCGACTTGGTAGGCGAGAGGGTGGGGGTGCTCCATTATTAGTCACAAAGCGGTGCCTATTTGTATTTTACTATTTTATCTTTAATCCCCCCCCCCAAGAAGGAACAAATTGATTTTAAAAGAAAATCTGCATTCAAAGTTTATGGGCAGAGGACTGGGTTAGTGGGTAGAGGAGGGCATCTTTTCATATTCTGTTTGTCCCCCCTTCTCTCTCTCTCTCTTTTCAATTTTAAGGTCTCTTGCACCCCCCCCCTCTTAATTATCACTCCTGGCACTTCACACCATATAAAAACAAATTTTTCTCTGCACCCCTTCTCTCTCTCTCTCTCTCTCTTTGTTTTTCATCATCATCATTGATTGCTAAATCTAAGAATTAAACAGGAAAATCAATAAAACCATAACACACAATCAAAACACTTCAGATCAAGTCATCTTCCAACAGAGCCCAAATATCTTAACTGTTCATCAAAATCATCAATTGTCTTTTTTTAGTTTGTTCTGCTTCAGCATGTTTGGGAAATTATCAACCAAAGCTTATTACTCAGAAGTAATTAGATCTATTATTTTTGTAATTCCTAATTTCTTCAGTAATTGGAAAATGTACCTAAACTTTATGCCTGCAAAACTGGCAGTATACAAATCTTTAAATCAATACATGCTCTCAATACATGAAAGAAACTATTGGATTTTTATGAAGTGAACATTGAATGTTTTATTAATATTTCAATTATATTATATAATAGCTATATACAGTACATGTATTTTCACTATCGATGACTTGTAAAATTAACGATAACCACTTTCCTTGTAATTTACATATAGTTCTCAAAACCATAATATACTTGCGTTGTTTATATGAAAAAATAAACATCAACTAAAATAATATTAAAAATATGCACTTCTCCTTATACATGCCGTCAACAATAAATACATATTTCACAACAAAATTAAAATTGAGGCAACCCAATGTAACAGAAATAGTGGCCACTGTAGACATCTTCTATAAAACACACCTCTTTCAACAGCTTTCTGTACAAGGTATGGAAAGTTTTTTAAGTGATGAGAGAAAAACAAATCTTCCAAAAATAAATCTGGATATCAGTAGAGGCATGCAATTGGGTGATATTTTGAATGGATCCATGTATGTAGCCATACCCCTCCCAGCCCCCCCCCACCCCCCCCCCCATCTCCCCAATAACTAATTCCACAAATATATACTCACAGTGGGATTACCTACTTTTTTCTGTACAATCCAAAACTTCTCTGACCATTTGAAATAATTTTTAACTACACATGTCAATAGATTCATACAGGATTCCAAGCAGAGAAGGAGAATGGAGTTCTTTTGAGGTCGCAGCAACTACGGAAATGTGCACTTATCAGCAAATAATGCAAATGTACAAAAAAAATAAACTGCAAAAACAAGATGATTTAAATTTCAATATTAGTGAAGTCAATGACATCTACTTCCTTCACCTGTGTTTTTTCTTCAAGTTCAAACCGAAGCTTTAGAATTTCTAACTGAAGCTTCTGTTTTTCAAGATAGATCTTCTCCTTCTCTGCTTGGATCCTCTCCATATCCAGTTTAGCACGCTTCATTTCTACATGCAAATAATCATTATATGTTGTATCTGTTTGTCCGGCTCTCTTTCCTGCAGATTCTGAGAACTTGGGCCTTGAGACTTGAAATCCAACTGATGGAGATGAGTTTGAGGACTGTCGATTAGAAGAAGAGGCAACTGGAGTGCTTGGCCTGAAATGAAGAAATAGATTCTTATTTGATAGACTTGCAGTGCAACAATAATAGATGAGAACATGGGATTTTAGCAGGAAAAATTCAATTATACATTCAAAGGTCTATTAAAGTAATCACAGGTTATTATTTCTGAGAAAATGACTATATAACCTGTAGTTAGAGCATTTTAAGAGTACCCTTCAATTAGCTTCATCACTGATATTTACTGATGTGAATCAATGGATGGAAAGTGAGATATTCTTCAACAATGTTATACACAGATAACTCAATCTTACAATTTTTAACATAACTTCTTACTGATTTATCTATTCATATAACATGGAGGGGGGCAGAGGTCTTTTACATTGAGCGTTATTAAATGCAAGACCTACATGAACAGTACATCTTCTTTAAAAAGCAAGCATCCTGTGCAACCCTTCATACAAGAAGCCCCAAATTTCTTAATCTTCAATGTAAAGAATGGACTTACATCACAGGCGTGACAGGTGTGACAGGCGTGACAGGCTTAGGCGTGACAGGCATAGGTGTGACATGTTTAGGTGTGACAGGCATAGCCGCCAAAGAGTCTGCTCCTCCACCTATCCCCACTATGACAGGACTAAACTCTCCGACAATGTCCAGGACATGATTGTCAACTGCGGTCATCATTGTTGTTGCCACACCTCCACCTGTACCAAAAGAGCAAAAGAGAGTACATGATAATTCATGTTGAAATAAAATAAATTTACTCAGTGAGTAACTGAGTATACATTTATCACATTTTAATTTGTCTACAACTTGTTTTTCATTGTGTCCATGCCATAAATTAGTAATATACCCGATGACAATACATGTGAACAAAGGAAGTATTCATATTTATTATTCAATGAATACATATTTATAAGTATTTTGGCAACCAACTCGCAAAACAAAGTTTAAGTAATAAATTGTTATTGAAATGCAAAGGTCTGTTATGTGGGAATGAGTAAATGACTGCCAGAACTAGTATCTTCCCTATCATTTCAGAATTACAGTCTACATGTAACTGCACAAGGATTATACAAGATTCTTCTGCTTTACATTCAAATTGGTTTAACGTAAATTCTTTGAGTACCGGTATGAAGTTTTATCATTTATGATTGTGGGATATTGTTCTGTTTGTTGTATGCCCGGTATGGCCAACAAGCCAAGGGTCTGTAAACTACACAGGTCTACCGCACTCCAGCAAAGCATAGAAAGTCAGAGTACAGGGCTGTCAACTTTGGGAAACTGCTTGGAGGGATTTTTTTTTTGGAGAAAAGATTAAGTGCCAGCCGCTGAATAAGCGGGGGGGGGGGGGGAGAGCACTTTTTTTTTTTTGGTATACAGTACGGTTTGGCGGGATGTTTTTTTCATAAACCGGGAGATTCTACACCGTTGGCGGGAGAGCGGGAGGAAGGCGTGGTGGCGGGAGTCTCCCGCTATGAGCTTTTGGGGCAGCGGGAGAATGAGCGTGGTGGCGTGAGAGTGAGACTCCCTCCAAATGCGGGAGGGTTGACAGCCCTGCATGTATGTGTGGTCTACCGGTATATGAGCTACACACCTTGCAAATAAGTAGGGAGATGGGAGTTTGTCTAGCGGTAATGTTTCTTACACCTACAAACTGATCACATCCAAGTTCGACATCGACATCGAGTCAAGCCTTTCAGATGTTCTGTTCCAAGAAGTAATATTAGACCTCTACTAATAATATTAATAATCAAGTCTGATTGATACAGGTAGGCCTAGACTACTACTACTAGGTCTGTAAAAGCCTCATTAAACTCATGTTAACACACAAGATTCACCATGTCTCTGCAATTTGCAGCTGACACACAGTTGTACACTTGTATTTTGTAAGCAGGGTCCTAAGACTTAGTAGTACATGTACATGTAATTTGTTTTCCTTTCCTATTTTATTTAGACGGTCTTGCTTCGGCGCTAGTGTAGTTCCGTATCCATTTTTTTTAGCAGTTTCATATCCATTCTTATCAAAGGAAATTTAGCTCAATTTTTTACTAATTTTAATCATAATCATATATCACATTTTCCACCTGAATTTGGATCACACCCGAAATCGGGAAGCCTCCGTTTAATGCTTCGATGTTGATGTCGTCGCTCAGTACCGTCTCTACGCTAGGCCTATACTACTAGCTTTGCAACTCGAACTGAAGCTATCAGTCCAAAATTACGCAAACTTCTCGTATGACGTATGGGTTATGGTATCGTGCATGCGCGTAATACCATAAACCATACGAGAAGTCTGCATAATTTTGGACTGATAGCTTCAGTGAGGTGCGGAGCTAGCGCGTAGAGACGGTACTGAGCGACGACGTCGACATTCCAGGCCCTAAACGTAGGTTTCCCGATGTCGGGTGTGATCCAAAATCAGGTGGAAAATGCAATAGACCTATAGACCTATAAAATACAATGAGTAAAAAATTGGGCTAAAATTCCTTTGCTAAGAATGGATATTATTATTAAACTGCTAAAAAATGGATACGGAGGCGGAGCTACACTAGCGCCCTTGCTTCTACTTTCTAGATCTACCATCTACATCTACATCTAAGGTGGTAATGGACAGGACCAATTGGTATATACGTTCAGATTTCCGTGGCATCGCAAACTGTCAACAAACATCACAACTGATGCAAAGTTCAAAAATCAAAAATAATATTAATATTAAATAAGGAGGTGCTCATAGTCATAAAATAGAGTGGGTTGTACTTGTAGACATCATCTACCCTGCAGCTGGACCAATCACTGCTGTTGCTAACACATATCATTTTCAATTGAAGCAAATCCTACCACTTATTAATATTACCAGTACTCAGTAGGTACAACCTCTGCTACTAACCGAGTAATAATTGTGAAAATTTCTTAATTTTGGTTTAGACAACACCAACACTAAACATCATGAATGGGACCCGCTCAAACTAAACTAGCACGATCGTTCCTCGATCCTCGTTAGCTGTGGTAGGCCTTTACTTACTCACTGTTTACAAATATTGTTCCACTTACCACCAAACGACGGTATCCCAATCAAATATCACCATTCTGCACTCCCTTATTTTTTCCAGAAAGGAGAAAACTAAGCCCACTACCGCAATATAGGCTATAGAGTCTAGGCAATACAATTTAATTTCAACAGAAGCCAAGGTAGTCTACTACTATAGTACCGGTACAGATCTCAAAGACAAAGGACAAAGGTTAAATCCAAGCTGACGTCACCGCGATATTTCGCAATTCGTTTTCGTTTTAAAGGTATAGTCTACACGAATTAAGTCGACGGATGGATTTAGTCTTTGATCTGAGCGTGAAGAGAAATTATTTAATATACTAGTACTCACCGGTTTTCTGGATGCTTCTTTTATCTTTGAAGAAGTTTTCCTTCATCGTTATGGTCAAGTTGTGCCACTTTTTTGTTTAGCTCGTCCACCGTCCTCTTGACCAAAGGGTTTTGGGCATTTATTTTGTCCGCGATTTCCTCCCATGCCTGCTCCTTCAGTTTTGCTGTAGCCCCCACTCCGAATTTTGGCTTCAAAATGTTCTCCCTACTCTTAAATTCTTCTAACAATAGTAACTTCTCCGCATGTGTAAAATTTGCCTTCCTATGGTTCATCTTGTCTTCCATATTTGCCGGTATTGTTAATTAAATCGAGATGGCTGGTAAAGAAAGTGGTAGATCACGCGCATATATGCCAAAGGTAATTTCCTGCGGTGCGATTTTCTCTTTTACACGCAAATTGCCATAGACAAAAATTGGCGGACTCAATCAAAAAAAATTGATGAGCGGCATTAAAATTATGACGTCACACAAGTTAAGCTCTTTTTCTTAACTGTAGTCTGTCTTAAGAAAAAGTGCTTAACGTGTTTAGAATACGGCTGAGGCAACTTTCTTAACCTAGACAAATTCTAAGACATTTTCTTAGACTTAAGAAAAATGTCTTAAAAGTTTATTGAATACGGGCCCTGACATTTATGTAAATATGTTAATACGTTTATTGCACTAGGTCACTTAAAACGCACGTACACTAAATCACGCAATTGTCACTGCAATATCACCATTATAATAACGTGATTATCCCTACCTTGGAGACCAAGCTAACAATAATTTTGTATTTAATTTGTAATATAGGATTTCCCGGCCAAATTCGCGTGTTTGTCATTCGAATTCATTTACTTTGTATTTAAGTTAGCGCAAATCGGATTTGCCTTGCCAATTATCATTCAATTTTCCAGTTTTTGTATTTAATTTAGGATTTTGGTCGAAGGGTTTCCTAGATCTGTCATTTAATTTAGAAACTGCTCAACTAGCATTCAAATTAATATGCACTTGTCGAAGCGTAATTTTTATCATTCAAATTAACACCTGTCATTCGTATTCGTAATATTTTTATTCAAGTTAGGAATGTTAGGGGGAAGAATTGCAACAAACTTTTACAGTTTTTAAATAATGCACTTAAAATGCATGATTTGCCATTGGGGTCTAAGCTGTTATTCCATTTATTTATTTTCAGGACAATGCTGATGGGTGAAGTCAGACATAAAGTAAAGAAGGGGCGAAATCAAGGGATATGGCATTTCTGCACGGACATGTTAATATACCCGGGAAAGGTGGGGGTACCCTCAATCGCCCCTTTTTACTACAGACTCGGAATTTTACAAAAGTAATTCACATCGTCTCTTATACCCAGCACACCCCTCTGTTTTTCTTAAAGAGTTTCATAGTTTACTTGCCCGTCAGCAGATCGATGACTAAAGACATGGCTAAATAATGAATCATGTTCAAATTGTTGACTCTAGTCCCTACCCCAGTCACAATATTGTACCCTTCTTCCATAATGAAATTATGATAAATTTATGATGAAACATAAGACAAACAACTTCCTTACATGAACATTTACAAATATACTGAGACCATCAGGTCCGTAGATGCAAGTCGTTTTTTCTTCTTAACAATCAAACTTAAATGCTGATAAAGTGTATAAATGCAAGAAAATGAAATAGGATGAAATACACATGAAAAAACAATCTTGAAAGAAAAAGAATGAGCTATAAAAAGTTTGTAATAAACGAGAAATGTATATTGACCATCAATTTAAGTGCACAAAGTGCTAATTTGAATGCTACACATGAATTCGAATGCTAGAAGGACACCGTCGCGTTGTCAGAAAATCGTGTTGCGCCAAATCGAATGACCAAATAGCGAAAGAAGCAATTTGTTCATTAATTTGAATTAAACATACGTAGATTCTAACGAAATTCCATAGATTTGAAAACTAGAAAAGGGAATATAAAACCGAGATATACCTGACTGCACTAAAACCGTCGAATTTGAACGCAAGATAAATTGATTTGAATGACAAATTCCAATATTATAGTTGTGATGTAATCCCATAAGTGTAATACTTGAAGGCAAACTATGGTTTCAATTACTGATACACACAAGTTTTTATGCAGATATTTTAAAATATTTATACACATATGCCAATTTTATATTTAAACTGGGGTCTAATCTTTGTATCTGTATAATGGAATCACTACATTTGCTGTACCGAAGTTAAAAATCTGTGTTATCCATTTATTTTTAATTGTCATATTGCTCCGGTTGTCTCATTTTCGCTCGCTGGAACATTGCCAGCACAAACCACTGACCTCTACCTCCTGGACGGATCATCGCCCATTCCCATTCACTATACATTACGTACTAAAAGGCTGTATTGTCTGACCGTTCATGAATATTCATGTTTTTGCTTACCTCGGCAAAATGTTTGCTTTCAATAAATGGAAAAATGACGGTGGGGGGTTGGATGAAATGGACATAATGAACCAAGCAGAAGTGATCTATGATAATTCATGCTTATTATCCTTTGTGTGCTTGACCTATAATCTTAAACTGAGTCCAAAGTTCGACTTGTTTCACATGTGTATTATAGGCCTTGACGAGCTTGCAACCTATTTTGATCAAATTACGGTGAGTGAACTTTCAAAAGTCAATGGAACATGAGGGTTCCAATGAAAGAGCTAGTGATAACATACGTCGGGATGGATGTGCTTTTCGTTTAAACACAAAAATGAATTTGTAACGATTTTTGGGTAAAATTCCATAGGCTAACATGTTAAGCTGCTGACTCTGACGATAGGGGGCGTTGTGAAATGAGACTAAACGGAGCTATATGTTAAATGACTGAAATTATCTTCCATGGCCAATGTCACAGTTGTCTCCTCTTCCTTTACCACTTCTACTTTCCCACCTCCTCTCTTTATCTCACCCTTATCCTTCCTTCTCAACCCTCCTTTCCCTCTTTCTCCTCCTGCCTTTGCTTCTTCTAATTGTTCTCCTTTTTTATAGTCTGGTTGAAACATTATAACCTTTTCTTTAGAGTAGCTATTACCTAGGGTAAATTTTAATTCGTACAATTTTTCATATAAATATTAATTTTCTACATAACTTCGCCTCTATCATTAGTAGTTTGATAATGTGTAATGCTTGAATTTTGATATCAATACATTATGATAGTGTTACTATTCGCACTACCCTCTGTATATCATCTTGCTATCCCCACTTGAATCTTCTTCTTCTTCTTCTTCCTCCTTCTTTTCTACTTTTCTCTTCTTTTCTCCCTTCATTCTCTTCTTAATCTTATCATCCTCTTTTCTATGCTTTCTCTACTCTACACCACCATCATGTTCTTCTTCACTTTTCTTTATCTCCTTTTCATATACAAATGAGTTAGGGAGATCAAATAATAATAAGAGATAATAATTTTAAAGTTAAATATTATTTTTAACAATGTGCTTATTCAAGTTCAGTTCATTAATTTGATGTCCTTTAATATGAATGTTTTTATATATTGTATTTTACTTTAGTAAAACATTGCCCAATTCGGCCCTTTAGGCCGCGATGCATTGTTGTTCTTTTATTCTCAATAAAACCATTATCAATTCAATTCAATTCAATTGTAAACCTAATACTCCCGTTTTTGTTTGATTATGAAATTACATCTTCATAAACGAAATTATCACATTCTTTAGAAGTTTTAGAATCGCGTCACAGAAACACGTAAAGCGTTAGTGATAGTTTTAATAGTCAAAATATCTGCGTAAAATTCACGGGAATATTACGAGGCTGACTTGTAATGAATCATGTTCTTCATTCAAGTGAAATTTACGTCGAAGAGGAAATATGTTACTGTTAACCGCGTTCAACCCAATAATTACGCAAATGTTACACAATAAATGAACCAAAATAATGACGTTCTCATCCCGTATCTGAACATCGTGTTTTGGATCTTCCATAATTACGTCCACGAGCGCCGGAAGCAGTTTGGGATTAGAAGGGTGAGGGGGGGGGGGTGCAAACATCCCAGAAGAGAAAGCTAGTTGCAACTGGTCCAGTTGGTGAACCAGTTAATGTCAACTGGTAACCCTGGAAATTGAAATGGGCTAAATGATCCAGTTGATCCAGGCCAGTTAGAAATCAACCGGTCTAGCTGAGCCATTAGAACCATTTGGCAAAACATCCAACCAGTTGAACGGCAACAACACTTTAATACTGGTACGTCTGTATTATTAGGTATCTTAAAACACCTTTTTAAATGGTAGTCAAGGTTGCTATAACTTCCGCGGTAGTGATCTCGTGACTCAAACGGATTATTAATATAAGCTGGGTATCCGTGTGTGAACAATGAATTATTCTTGGGTGTCTTGATGGTTTCACAATTACCATTTAAGTTCCGTGGTGATAATCCCGTGACTGTGTGCATATTTCTAGTTGCACCAGTTGATGACTGACTGTTGGCATATTTCCAGTTGAACCAGCTGACACCAATTAATTTGCATATTGTATATGCGGTGCGTGCAGATCTATGTTTTTGTAAACAATTTATCTGAATTTACAGCATATTTCTTAGATACTGATGATTTAGTTATATGCAATTCATTTCGAAAATACTACAAATATAAATTACCAGTTATTAGGACATTTCGCTACTTCGTATAAATTATATTGAATTAAACATGAACAAGGGAAACATTAACTATGAACTAAAATAATTTCAATAAAATACAAGTATATGAAAATGTTTCGATTAATCAAATTATGTAAGTCAACATATTACCAATG